AATTCTCATTTAGATTGCGTTGCCCAAAAACCGCTCGATCTATAATTCGAATTTCGGGTTGTGCACTGCTATGTCAAATCTTAGAAAAATCATAACTTCCTCATACAAAGTCAGATTTGGGCGTTCTTTTTATGCACGCCCTCGGTTTAACGAACACTATGACTTTCGTTTAGATTGCTAAGGCTAAAAAGTCCTATATCGCAAATTCATTATTTACGTCTCACAGTGTCGTGCCGGTTCTGTCGCTAAACTTCGACAGGTCATAACTTCTTCGTTATAACTCGGATTTCGACGTTCTTTATATCTCTGGAATCCTTGTCACAACCACTAAAAATTTATTCATCGATATCGGGCTTATATAACATTTTATTTTTGATGCTTATTTTCATTCTTAATTTATTATATCATTGTAAACAAGTGTAAAACACATAAAATCACATAATTCACATAATATTCAAGTAACTCCTCCTTATTACTTCAAAATGAGTTACAATGGTTGACCTTGACTATTTCATTACTATACTAATGTGTAGCCCAGAAACACAGGCGTTACATGTACTTCCTCCCATAAAGCATCTCAAAGGGAGGCCGATCAATGTTGGCATGGTAGTTATTGTTATAAGAGAACTTAGCCAACGGGAGATATGATATATTATGGGATACATGGCATAGTGAGAAACTCACCCGAATCGAAGAACCGGAGAAGAACAGCAACACAGTCAACTCCTTGCACTGATCAGAACCGCAAACTGAAAAATTACGGAAGATGCACCAAGACATGAAGATAAGTTGCTAGTTGATCCCTTGCTCAACAAAATCCTTCCTTAAACCTTCAAACGGCCAAAACACACAACAAAAATATCAAAATACAATAAAAGAGGCTATGGTTTCGAAATGGGGAGATGAAGACTGAAGGAGTTACCTAATCCAAAAGTTAAGGTCCTTAAATATGGGAGAAACCCTAAAAATCTCGAGTTTGGGCTGTAGCAGCCACCACGTCGTGGTCTCCCTCTCACAACGTCGTGGTGTCCATCCGGATACACTTTTCATTAAGTGTCATGTCACGTCATGGTCATCAACACACCACGTCGTGGCATCAGGTTTTCCCCATAAACCTTATCTTTGACCCCTTTAAGTCTTTAACTGATCCATTCTAGAAAATGGGTGTTACAACCCCCCACTTAAATTAGATTTCTTCCTCGAAATATGTCTTTACAAATTACTTGTAAAGCACCCTCCGAAACCCTTGTGGGTTTTCCAAGTCCACTCCCTTCTGCACGAGACGACACAACCCTGAGTACTGGAATTTAAAACAACCATCATAAGGATTTCAAAATCATGCACATGATTCACTCCCGAGTGGAAACTTTTAAAGGTAGAAATCTCATCTACCACATCACTAGAACAAACCCATTAACAAACATCTTCTCTTCGACACCACAAGATGAATCAGTCCTCAGTGATAGGCACACGATCCAATGAAGAACAAATACCAACACGTCGCAACTAACCATCATCGAGAGGTACTCAATCCTTACATATTATTTGAAAACTCTAAAATGGTGCTTGACTTCCAGGAAAATGAAGCCACCTCATACATCAGCTATGCTGAACAAAAACTCACAGATCTGATCCGTCCAAGACGTCCCCTGGCCTTGCGCCGTCTTACTGATAACTGGAGAATGGAATCCATGACTAACCGCCATATCCGACAACCTCACACTCAAACACAAAAGTAAAAACCTATCAAAGCCCAACGAACAAAGACTAAACTAGCCTATACATTAATACATATCTAACAACCTTTACGTCTAAACAAAGGAACAACTAAGTAGACAATGACAGGTTTGTTTCAACCCAAGTGAATGCAACTGGCCAAATCATAGCCTTACAAAACTTCTATAATTTCCATGGGCTCCCCCATGGCCTTTTAAACAAAGCTACAAAGATGACAAGCATAAATTGACACGAGACAGACCCCTAGTCTACTAGATCCTATCAGGTGTTCAGATCATGCTTCGAACCCCAAAGCCTTCATCTAACAAGAATAGGCAGAGAGACCCTCACACAACCCTCGACCCGGGCCTAATCACTAACTCAATCTTGCGCCGCTACCGATGCTTCAAGTCTTTTGACGAGATAACCTTGAATCTTCAACATCTGCTTTATTAGTCACAACTGACTGTTGAACAACATCCATTGCATAAGCTTTATTCCTGACAAATATCTGAACCTGTTATCGTTTATCCTTGAATATAAAACTTTGAGATAACCCGCAACTCTGCAATCTTGCATCCTGAATAAAATAATTCTCCCCCACTTGGAATAAACTAGATTCTGATGATTACACAACCTTTCCAATTTTGGTCCAAACCATACAACAACAAGGGAACCAACCACAAACAATCATTCAATATAGAACCATAGTTGATTAAAACAATACCATTCAACATGTCATTGAGGATTACAATTGAAATGACGAATTTTTTTTGTTAAGGGCGCCCTCGCAAGGTGTGGGGCAACGCTCTGACCCGAAAATTATTTTGTTAATGAAAATGTTATGAAAAATATTATTTTTAAATATATTCTCCATAACTATACTTGAAACCGTTATCCTTTAATTATGGGATAAAATCAACAATTAATTTTTGATTGATGCTTATCATTGGTAATTAGAAGAAATCTGAAATCTATAAAACCCTAGTTTGTGGTCTCATATCTATGCCTTTATTTGATACTGTTCCTTGAAGAATTATCCTTATAATTTGGATTTATTGTTGGCGGTTGATCTTCATTTTAAAGATGGGTTATGTTAGTGTCGGTACAACGTTTAATTTGTCAAATTGGCTATATTTTGATGTTGATGGTGTTTTATTTCAAATATTCGTCGTTATGTAAGAGTATAGGAGCGCTTTGTGTATTGATATAATTATAGGTATGAATGAGTTTTTCAAAGATTTATAAGTTCTTAGAAATTTGGAATAATCACATTTTTCTGGTAGTAAAAAGTTTTTTTTTATTAGTTTTACATATAATCACATTTTTCTGGTAGTAAAAAGTTTTTTTTTATGAGTTTTACATATAATTTTTGTTTAATAGTAATAGACAAAATTACAAATTTGGTCTTTGTGGTTTGTTAAAATTTTTGTTTAATAGTAATAGACCAAATTACAAATTTTGTCTTTGTGGTTTGTTAAAAAGTGGGACTTAGGTCCAAAGGTCTTTGTGGTTTGTTAAAAAGTGGGACTTAGGTCCAAAAAGTTTTGGAGTTCCACAATAGTTCAAGATAAAAATTTTATCGTTTGATCCAAAACGTTTTGAAAATATTTCAAATGATGAATATTTCCTTTTAATTTTGTTATTTTCATTTTCTTTTATTAATAACAATTAAAGAAAAAACTAACATAAAATACTCTCTCTCTCTAATAAAAAACAAAAGAAAAATATTATCAACACCCGTCACACCCCCATGTTCTTCAATAAATCCCAAATATGAAAACCAAATGTCGAAACCTAACAATTTAAATCAAAATCAACATCCATAGAATCTAAACAACTTGAAAAACACTAACCTGCAACAACCACAAAGAAAATCTACCAAAATTGCAACAAATTACAAATGAATTTGAGATTATTTAAACACTCTTAACCTTAATCAAACCCAAAAAATCGATAGAGGGAGGAACCGATTTTCAGAGAGGAATCAATATTCAGAAATCGAAATCAATTACTTGGCTCAAATACATAAAAATCTGGTAGTAAACTTATCAACGAGGGCGTCAAAATCAATTTTCTTTTGCTTTTAGGATTATCAGATCTCTACTTCCAACACCTTCCCGTGATAGTTCCAGTCGACGACTCGTTATGATACGAATGACTTTCAGATAGACAATTCATTTGGAGACATGGAATTGGAACGAATTTTAGGATTATCATACCAGTGGAGAAGGAGGGAGAGAAAATCAGATAGACGACCCAGTTAAAGACGAATGACTTTCAACCTAGTTTGACCCCTTTCCCGTTCCACCTGATTGTGTGTATTTTTGGTTAGCCAAATGTTAGCACAAATGGGTTGTGGAGACATGGAATTGGAACAGGGGCGATGAGATTAAGTTGTCTTCGTCATTAGAGACCATGTCAGTGAGATCGGGGAAGGGGGAAGGGCGCTTATGATTTTTAAATGACCACCAAACTCTACCTGCTTCTCCTTTTCTTTTTACCGGTCTCCTGCACACCAAACCTTAACTCTGTGCATTTTTTCCCGGTGAATGGGTTGCATATCCGACACTACCAACACACACCCTTCTTCCTCCAACCTCCTCTTTTCATCGGAAACTTGCATCACCTTGTCCCCCTTTCTTGCCATCGATTTCTGAAACCATCGCTGGAAACATGAATTCAAGTTTTAAAACGATTGCTGGAAAAATGTAGGTCGATTTTTGATCTAGTGGAGGGTGAAGAGGATGAGTTGCTGGGATCTAAGTAAGAGAGAGATGTTAGGTGGTATTTTATTTTAGTTTTTTCTTTAATTGTTATAAATAAAAGAAAATGAAAAAAATAAAATTAAAATGACAAATCCATCCTTTGAAATACTCTCAAAAGTTTTGAAGTTTGAAATGTAAAAAAATTATTATTTTGAACCACTAATGAATTCTAAAAAATTTTGGACTAAAATCCCAGCTAAAAATTTTTGGACTAAAATCTCAATTTATTACAAGCCACAAATTTGTAATTTTGTCTTTCTAATAGTCCACTGGACTATTAGAAATCTGGCAAAGCAAGGTTAAATACACATCCCACACACATCAAAATTTCACAATCAAAATGTTGGTAAAAGTAAACAAAAATAAACAAAGTAGGAAAAACTTATAAACATATCAAAAAGATTTATATTACGAGAGAAATTTATACATTAAAAAGACTCTAGTACTGTTTCCATTAAAAAAAGACTCTAGTACTAGTAGGTTCATAATTTTTGTACACTGTAGACGTACTTAAACTCAAGTGGTTCGTTTTTGGGTTCTTGAAGAGATATGCGATCTCAGGGGGTTCTTCATGACGACTGTGAACTCCAACTTCTCAGAGAGAGCAACATGATAACCATCACGAGGACTCCAATGGAAATACCAAATCAAATTGACAACAAAATATTCCAAATGAAGCAGAGCCAAATCAAACCCTGGACATATCCTTCTTCCTGCACCAAATGGCATCATCTTTATCCCTTTGCTTCCAGTTATATCGAAATCACCATTGATGAACCTCTCTGGTTTGAACTCCATGGGATCTTCCCACACCTTTGGATCCAAACCCATCTCAGCCACCATGAAATTTACGTGTGCACCTTCTGGAATCATAAACCCTTGTACTTCTACCTCTTTTGTGGCCCTATGAGCAGCCACGAAATGCCCTGGTGGGTGTCTCCTCAGCGCTTCCAAAACCACCGCTTTCAAGTATGGCATCTTCTTTAAGTCCTCTTCACTTATACGGGCTTCTGGTTCTACTTCCACCCCTGGTGGCGGCGGTGGAGGTGGTGGTCCGGCGACTGAAATGATTTCATCGTAAAGCTTGCTTTGAATTTCAGGATACTTCACAAGATTCGCCATGATCCATTGTAGAGCAGTAGCGGTGGTGTCTGTGCCGGCGTTAAGAAACTCGCTACACAGACTCACCATCTCTTTCTGGGTCAGCTTTCCGCCATTTTCTTTGTTAGCTTCTTCCTCGGGAAGCTGTAGATTCATCAGCGTGTCAATATACGCAACAACTTTCTCGTCTCCTACTGATTGTGGTTCAGAATTAGCTGCTTGGATTCGAGATTTAATAAGCGGAATCAACACTTGTTCTTGATCATTACGCAATTTCCAGAGCTCTTTCCATCTGTTTCTAAACAGTATCTTCCCCAACTTTGGATAATAATTGAGTACGTTTAAACGCCCGGAGCCCGCTAACAACAGCAACCGACGCTGTACGCCGGCGATTTCGTTGACTTGGTGTTCGCCAAGCTTCTCTCCAAAGCACATCAATACCAACAGGCAGAACATGGCGTAAAGAAAATGATCAACCACCTTGATTCCGGCAGCGTCCTTTTGATCTTGAAGGCGACCGATCAAATTATGAAGGACCCACTTGCGAGACCAAGAGTATGACGTCACCCGGGAGGGGTGTAGGATCTCGGAGACAAGATTGCGACGGAGGACCCTCCAAGTAGGGCCGTAGGAGGCGGAGGAGATGTTGCGCACGGGAATGGTACTAGGGCGGTCGGAGAAGATGGCGCCTTTCTGGATGAGGATCTGGTGGGCGACAGAATGGCTGCTGACGATGATCGAAGGAGGAGGACCGATGAAAAGAGTGATGAGTGGCCCATGCTTGGACTTGAGATTTCTGAGGATGGGTTCGAGCTCTGATAAGGGAGTGGTTAGAACTATGAAGATGGAGGAGAGGAACGAGGGCCCTGGTGGTAGCTTTTTGCCGTCTTTCCGGTAGAGCAGTAGGGCTCTGATGAGAGCGGCGACGCAGAGGGAGACGATTAAGACGAACCAGGTCTCCATCTTCGACAAATATGTAAATAGATTATGGCCGGCGAGATGTATGTTCATATATTTCATCGATTTTCGATTTTAGTACACGAAGTAAAACCCATAAGTCAATGCCTTTTTCTTTTCGTTCTTTCTTAAATTTATTTAGTATGCACTATGACGACCCTTACTCTTAGTTACCAAGCAATTGGGATCGATTAAAAGAAACCAACGATACGGGATCGACTAAAAGTCCAAATTTTTGTTCAATTAAATCTAAAAATCATTTTTTTAAAGGTTTATATAAAATAGATTTTTACAAGTAAAAAAATAAAAAAGAATTGGATTTTATATAGGTTAATCCGAAACCGAATTATTTGAATTTGTATCTAGTTATACCGTATATCCGCATCTTAGGCAAAAATTTGGTAAAACCGCTTCGGATTTTGTAACGTTTGCAAGAAAGGGCTATATGATTAAGGTATAAAAGAATAATTTTTCGTCGTGACGATAAATAGGAATTATGGATAAGAGATTATTTAAGAAAAATAATCTAAATAAAAGGCGTAGTATTCGTAAAAGCAAACTCGTGCATATAGGGAACGTCCAAATCTGATTTCGTAAGAGGAAGTATAACATCTTGATTCAGGTAATTTATAATTTTGACCCTGAATATGTAATTATTTGTAAAATTGGTCCCAAGGAGCCTTAAGTGAGAAATGTGCATTTGCCTAGTACGTTGGGCATACGGGGCCGAATCCCAAACCCTACTTTTTTAGGGTTTGGGCCCTATTTAAGCATCATTAACTCCCCAAGACTCATTCGCTCATCAGCCTCCAGCCCCATTTCGTATCTTGCAAACCCTAATCCACATTTGTGAGCATTTTGAGCCTTAGAGTGTGTTGTTGGTGTTCTTGAAGGAGGAAGAAGGAAGTGGATTCACCTTAAAAGCTCAAGACCTCTTTGGATTCAGAAGCATCTTGCCCTCAAGCTTCATTTAGAGGTATAAAGCTCTGAACTTGTTGGTTATTTCATTAAATCTTGCTAGTTGTGGAGTTTTGTGTTTTTAGCCTGATGAAACAATGAATCGAGTAATGAATTAATCAGAGTATGAATTCAAGTAAGAATGTGAGATTTGAACACAGGATGTAAATATGATCTTGTTACGCTCTATTAAAACGTAAGGTCTTATGTTTCAGCTATCTATGATCTTTGATTCAAATATGGCCGACGATAAATTTAATTTTATGCGGGATGGAACCCCTTTATTTAATGAAGTTGCCATAGGTTTTATGGGTCACATTATTTCGGGCTAATCAGGGTTTGAAGGGCCCACTTGCGAGCCCAGGAATAGGACTTCACGCGGGAGGGTTGTAGGATCTCAGTGACAAGATTGCGACGAAGGACCCTCCATGTAGGGCCGTACGAGGCTGAGGTGATGTTGAGTGTCGCCACGGTGCTAGGGCGGTCGGAGACGCTTGAGTCTTTCTGGATGAGTAGTTGGTGGGCGAGATCTTGGCTGCCGACCAAGATGAGTTGACGAGAACTAATGGAAAGAGTGACCAATGGTCCATATTTTGATTTAAGATTTCTGATGATGGGAACGAGCTCTTGGATGGAATTGGTTAACAGTAGGAAGTTGGAGGAGAGGAACGAGGGTCCTGGTGTAGCTTCTTGCCCTCTTTCCGGCTGGAGATAATTAGGGCAGCGAAGCAGACGGAAACGATGATGACCAAATGCTTTGAACTATTCTGAGCTTTTCGATTTCAGCATCAGCTTCAGCCTTCTTTTCTTCTTTTGATTTTTCCACAACAATCGATTTCCCTTTATCTTTCAATGCTTGATTGTCAGTTGTCTCTTTTGGTTTTGAACCACTCCCACCAGTCTCGGAAGATTTACCAATCACAAATTCCTTTCGAAATTGGTCTTGCAATTGGCATTGTTGTTACGACTGTTGAAGTCACCTGTTCAGCAGAAACAATTATTGGTTTTGTTGTAGGGATTTTGGAAGAAAAGACTTTTCCCACAACTTTCGCATCTTCTCCACTAGTCTTCGACTCACTAGTTTTTCTTTCTCCCCCTTGCACCCATGTGAAAACAGGTGGGGCATTTGTGGTTGGAAGAAGACTTGATATGCGAAAGAGAGGAGCAAGTTGCTTGTTGAGAATGGCTTCGAATTGGATAAACTTCTGAGATAAAAATTCAGGAGTAATCAATGGAGAAGAAACCGGCCTATCAGAAATCTCTTTTAACTCCTTGAGCAACTTAAGCACTTCTTCAAAGCTTGCACTTTCGGATGTTGAAAGTTGAGTAATTTAAGGACTCAAATTTTCATACAACTTAACAAATCGAGTGACTGCGTCACAAATGATATCAACCTTTTGATGCAATGATGCATAGTCGTGTTGAACAGTTGCTATTTCTCTTTTCATATCTTCACGAAGTTCGTGAATTTGCAAGTTTACATCCTCTCGAACTTTCTTCACATCTTGAATAAAAAGAACATGTCTTTCCTTTGCAACATTCTTCAACTCTCTCAGATCACTAGCAAATTTCGAATTTTGAGAATTGATTCGAATTTCATTGTTTTGATCATTGAGATCAACTTTCTCCAAAATTTCCTGATTCAAAGTCTGTAAGCATTCCAGAGACTTTGCTCACAACTCTGGCTTCGAACATCTTCAACATCGAATCAATCTCCAGACTTGAAACAGATGAACCACCCCCCAGATCAGCTTGGGATTGAAGTATCAAATTCAACTTCTGATTCAGGATTTTAAATTGTTTCATGGTCAGCAACATATGATCAGGAAACTGTTCTTTGTCTTCATGAAATTCCAATTCATCAAACATACCACCAAACCCCTCATTATCAGTCTCTGTCTCCACAAAAACGGTTTCTTGAACAGGTGAAGTGGGTTTGGGTGGCTCAGTAGATTGAGAAGAAAAAATAGAAGTAAAGGGTTGATCAAGAATGTGTTCGAATGTTGGGGAATCTGTTTTTGAAGTAAGAGGAGTAGAAGATAATGGTAAATGTTAGAACAAAGTTCTATTAGGATCGTTAGATTCTGAGCAAGCAAACAATCAAGAATGTAAAAACGAATACAAGAATGACTTTGAATGTGTCGAATGATTAAAACTTTAACACCTCAGAAGAGCTCGATTAAGAACTGCTACTGTAGAGGTGTTTAGGGTTACAGAAGTTATGAACGTGATAATCAATCTCGTATAATGCATACATGCATGCATATATATAGTATAACCCTACTAGCTAATCTAGATAATCACGGATGGACAGGCCCAATCCGGATGCAAAACATAAGGCCCATGACGCAACACAAACGGACTCAACAATCTCCCCCTTTGCGTCTTTGGAGCCGAAACCTCAATTCTGTTGAACAACAGAAGTCTTCTTCACAGTCTTAAACACCTTCGGTATGATTGCCAAAAGATGATAGCGAAATGTAATGTACCACCGAAGCATGTCTGTAAAATTCTTCTTGTCAGCCTCTGAATTCTGCTTGCACCGATGTATTATGTTGATGATGTGCTCCAAGCAGTCTGTGGAAAATAAATGCTTATCAACCAGAGCAAACAAAAATCTGCGAGCTTCGCCTTTGGTAAACATCACAGTGAGATGTGTTGAATCTATTTGGCCCATCTTCATCTTGTTCACATCCCCTGGCTTTGGTGTAGGCTTGACTGTTGGCTTCTTATTCATAACCTTTGCTATCTCCTGATCCATAGCAGCAACTTCATGGATGTAGGAGGCTAACATTCTCTTCAAATGTTCTAGAATGGGCTCATATTCATTCGGATTAGTGAGCAGAATGTTGTATAGCAAAATCCAATCATGGGGATTGAGATTAGGAAGGTCTGCTAGAGAGATAGTCGACACTGTGTTTGCTGTACAACGAGTGATCTTGAAATTGACATTGATAAATCTCCCAGCAAGTGTCGGTTTCAGTACCTTGACTGTAATGATCTTCTGTGCACTCCAAGTCAAGTACTGTGGTTGCCCATACTTCAAATAGAAGTCAATCAGCTCTCGGTCAACCTTAGGATGAGGAAAAGGAACCTCAGCAGTCGAATCAAAGCAATGGAACGTGAATGCTTTTCTTGTAATTGGCATGTCGAACTGCGAGTCCTTAGAGTTATCACAGTCAAATGAAGCAACAAGTTCCAACCAATAAACTGATGGAAACTCTATAGCTTGATTGATAAGTGTCTCTTTCGTCCATAAGGGAAACAAGGCCTTTTTACAATTCAAGGCTTATTCAACTTCCTTGTTTCTCCTTTCCCTCTCCTCTGCTTCCTTCGCAATTTTCAAATTTTCATCCAGCTCTCGATCTCTCTTCTTTCTTTGGAGAGCTTCAGCAATTGTTTCTTCCACATCACTTTCACTGTCATCATTGATCTCCTTTCGCTTAGTTTGTGAACCAGAACCTGAAGCTACATTATCCTTCAGTTCGGTTGAGCACCTTCTGTCTTTACAATTACTTTCGGTTGAACAACACGAGCACCTTCTCCCCCTTGTTTCGGAGGTATGAACCTCTCAGAAACACCCTTCATTTCATGGAGCATTGCAAGGGTAGGAAGCAATTTGGTTGTGAGATGATTTATGATGGTGAGAGTTAGAATGGGATCATGAGCACCAAGGAGATTGGTCAACATGTCCTTTACATCTCCTGCACAGCTTTGAAATACAGCCCGTTCTGTCTTTAATAAAGAAATTTCTTTTTCAGCTTGGGCTAGCTGCACCTTTTGGACTTCAATAGTAGATGCTTGTTTGGCAAGATCTGCCTTCAGAGCACTTTCGGTTTCCAGGTCAGCGTGAAGAGAGGCAAAACGAGAATTCACTGAACTTAAAAAGGAAGTGTTCTCGGTTTGGATAGATGAACGCACAGCTTCAAACTTGGTGCTTTCTTCCTGAAGGGACTTAGAAAATGATTCCACAGAGGCTTGAACTTTCGCTGCACTTGTATCAGCATGACCTTTCAAAGATTCAAGAAAAATCTGAGTTGTATGAACAA